CTCAAATCTTTTTTTTTTTTTTTTTTTTACAAATGATAAACATTTAGCAGAATCTGCAAGGGGTATGTAAACTCACAAACAGGACTGTAGCAGTAAAGGGTGTTAAGAGGTGACCGCTCTGCCAAATGAAGCTTTATGCAGTGATTTCACACCAGTGCTGAGATGCTGTGCATTGTATTAATGACAGAATTTTCATTTTTGGGTGAACTAACCCTTTAAAATGCATGTTACTGTTCTCTGTTTAATGTATGTTACTGTTTTAAAATGTAATTTATTCCAGTGAATATTTCAAAGTCACATGATCCTTCAGAAATCATTCTAACATGCTGATTTATTCAAAAGTTTAAAAGAATGGTATTCATTTGAAAAAGAAATTTTTTGAAACAATGTAAAAGTCTCTACTGTCAATTTTGCTCAATTTAATGTGTCATTGCTGAATAAAAGTATTATTTTATTTTGTTTTTGTTTTTATCTTACCGACCTCAAACTTTGGAACATGGTCTCTGATCTCCTGTCAGATGTTCTCTAAACTCTTCAGGCATTATAGGCGAAGACTCAGAGCTGTTCTCTTGGCAAAAGGGGGTTGCAAAAAGTATTGGATAAAAGGGTATGATTAATTGTGACCAATGTGTATTAGAGAAAAACATTTATTTCATAATGAGATTAGGGCTGTGACGGTCGCCGTGACAACCGCGTGGTCATTTGCTCAATTGTTTTATTTAGACGAAATTGTACTGACTTGGCTCCCGGTGTCAAGCAGACATGACACATTCACACCTCCAATTTTCAGGTCGACTACCGGACACCTTCCCACAGCATGTCGGAGTAGTCGATCACGATTTGAATCAAGGTGAGTTGAGCCAATAGCTTGCCCTCGCATCGCCTGGCTCATAGCGACCGAGGGTGTGCATTTCCCTGCTGTGAGGAGGATGACTCATCGTCCTTGACAGCTGGTTTGTTTTTTCTCACACAGTTTCTCGCTATGTGCCCGACGCCATTACACTTAAAGCAAATAGGTTGGCCGTCATCAGAAAATCTAGGCTGCATTGTAGATTTAGGACGATTTAAAGATTCGGGCTTAGGGCAGTGTAGAGTCAGCCTCTGAACAGCTTGAGTTAACTCCCCTATGGCTTTGCCCTGCTCTGCTACTACTTTCAGAACATCATCAAGTGTAACAGAGCTTGCTACAGGCATCACCATAGCCACATACTGAGCTTCTGTAGTCTCAGAGCTTACACTACAATTACTGGCTACTTTACTAGCACGTAGTTTGATATCTTCAAGAGACCACATTAACGCTTCATCCCTTACTTCAATCAAAGTGGACTGTGGCTTGTCCCTTACCAACTTACGAAGTTCCCTTCTGAGTGCTACATCCCTGACTCCCTCAATGAACTGGTCTCGTAGAGCAACATTAGCATTGGCAATGGCATTAGAAGACTGCTTTAAAACAGTATTCAATATCTGTGAAAGGGCATGAGAGTATGTACGGAGGTCTTCACCCTCCAGCTGTTTGCGAGTGTAGAATGTCTGTAATAGCTGGGCCGGACTACGTTTTTCTCTAAAGGCCGCTCTTAAATACAAGAAGATGTCCTCTGTTCGTGGAGGCTGCCCCCCTTGCCTTAACCTAACCTCTTCTACAGCAGCACCTTTTAACAGGGAAAGAACAAAATCAGCTTGATCTTCAGGTGTCTGGTTTCTTACGAGCAGTACTCTTTCCACCTCTTCAATAAACTCATCCACATTTCTACCATCTTTGCTAAGATCGCCACTAAAGGGCTGAATGTGACGTTCTCTGGGCACATACACATAGGACCTATTTGGTTCTCTACTCAGGTTGGCAATAGCTGCCATAGCTTCAGCATGCTTTCTACTGAGCTCTTGTATCTGTTCTTGCACATTACCCGTACCCCAGGCACTAGCCGCACCATGTACTACCCCAGCCTCTTCCTCCGGCTGTGACATGTTGATGAAAATGTACAAGTCTTTCACAGTTCTTTCACCACCACAAAGTCCTTGTTAAATGCTCTTTGTTTCTCAGTTCAAAGGATATGCTGTCCGTAATGTGTATATGACACCCTCTTCCTCTTCTGCGGAACACACGTCACTGGCTCCCGACCTGCAGTCACACTTGTAATTCAACAGCAAACAGCGATGTCTCCTCTTCCTCCAGCTAGCCCGTCCCTTGGCCTCAAAACTGCCAGCCGACGTCTCCAGCAGCTGGACAAACACTGCACAGTTGACCACTCCCACTGCGAGTCCTGCAACTCAAGTACCAGCCACTACCGTATTAAAAAAAACAAAAATACGCTCAACTCTATACTGCTCCCAACCGTCAGATGACCCCACTCCTGGTACCAAAAATGTAACCGGGTGTTCAGTTATATATCAACACCGCGCCACCAGTGGTAGTTGGTCCATTACCACCGCGGTGGTAAAAATCTGCCACCGTCACAGCCCTAAATGAGATTTCTCTCCCATTTTAAATTCTTATTCTCCAATGAAAGGTTAGATTTTAGTTTTTTTTTAAAATAAAATATGTAAAGGATTGATGATACAGATTAATTTTCACAGCCTTCTTTGATCATATTTACCAAGGGTATGAATCATTTTGAGCACAACTGTATACAAACACACACATACTGCATCTATGCACACATACAAAAACTACTACAAAAATTAGAATTATATTGAACACTCTGGAGTGTTGAATCTTCAGGGTACAATAATATAAGAAGGCTCAAAGTGTATGCTTAAGAGAGAGAAAAAAAAAGAAAGCTCTTGAGACCTCATGTCATCAAGCAAGATGGTAAATAAACAACAAACAAGCTATAGTACTTGTAAATGAAAATATGAAGCAAATGTGGTTGAGGCGACTGTAAAAACACTACAAATGACACACAGAGAAACAACAGCAAACACTACAATCAGTCTGTGGAGGACTGTGTGTTGTGTGTGTGTGCGTTGGCAGAGGCCACAGGAGGGCCGACGAGGGATGATGCCAGAGGTAGCCATTTGTTTTCCATCCATCTTTGAATGCATTAACGAGCAGGCAGTTTTTCATTGATTAGCGTAGCAGAAGGCTTCAAAGTCTGCACCAGGCCAAATTGATCCGTAGCCCGTCTCTCTAATCATTGACTTCAAGCCTTTCATGTGTCAGTATCTTTTCTCTGTGCTGGCAGTTTGAGCGGCTGCCTGTTCAACCTCAGAACTATATTCTTCTAAGAGAAACTGAAGTCAAAACAAAAGAAACTTTTTCTCCCTTCTGGAGTGATTAGGTTTTAACTGTTCCATTAATTGGCCTAAGACAATAATGTCAGTACATGAATTGATTGAAACCGATGATTGATGAGGATAAAAACATCTCAACCGAAGTGGCTCGCTCCTAATAGCTGAGTGCCACATGGATTATGCAGGCGTACCTCACAGAAACAAAGCTTTGATTAACTTTCTGACAGCCCAGAAGCAGACTTGAGTAGAATTCAATATGAGAAAGTGATGAGAGACTTTTAAAGATCCTATTAGCACCCCTGTGAAAGCACAGATACATATGCCTCTTTCCAGCATTTTGGGAATCATGGCATAACATGAGAAAAGAACACTGAAAATATCTGTTTCTAATGACATTATGTTAAGAAGAATTGAAACTGGGTCTTGGTTCCCCACATATGTTGGCTGCTCTTCATGGACATTTATTGTCAGCCTGAAGGAGCAAAATAAGAGTGCTAACCTTTTCTTTGTATGCAATTACAAACACTGAAATTTAGTTCTCAGTGATATTTTTGAAACTCATGATTTTGTAATAATTTTATAAAATTATTGTAATTGTCCGTTATCTGTAAACCATTAATATTAATATTTACTAGATAAAAAAAAATAAAAAAAACATTAAGGTATACATTTTCAGACTGTGAAAGCTGTGAGAACTAAAATAAAATCCAAAGTTGTCGAAGATAAACATGTAAAAATTAAAGAAAAGAGTAAAGAAAATAGCTATGATGTC